CAGCCGCCAGGTTCCCCACCTGTCTTCAAGGCGCGTTACGTTGCACGAGGCTTCAGTCAGCGTCAGGGGGTCGACTACGTCCAGACCTTCTCCCCCACCCCAAAGATGACCACTCTTTGGGTGCTGCTGCATGTTGCAGCACACCGTGACTACGAGCTGCACTCACTTAACTTCTCCTCAACTTTCTTGCAAGATAGCCTCCACAAGGAAATCTGGATTCGTCGCCCACTTTGCTAGACTGGGTCGTTTCCTGATGGTACCAAGTGGAGCCTCTAGCGGTCAGTCTGTGGTCTCCTTCACACACATTGAGGACGACACTTGTGAATCTTGGCTTTGCTCCTTCGACCGCTGACCCGTCGATGTTTCTGAGCACTGACCATTCTCTGCGGCCATTCAACATCCTTGTCTATGTCCACGACTTGGTTTCTACGACTGCTAAAACTGAGGCACCGGCCCTTGTGAAGGCAGAGCTGCAGAAGAGACACTCCTTGACCAACCTGGGAGAGCTATGGGGCTATGTTGGCTTGCAGATCACCCGTGACAGAGCAGCGCGCACCATCACTTTGACTCAGTCACACATGGTGCAGCATGTCCTTCAGACACCCATTCCACTCTTTTGACTACGGGCCACTCGCTCTCAGCTCCACCTTCGGATGAGTCCGTAGAGCCGAGTGGTGGCATCCAGATCTTGTGGGTTGGCTCATGTACGTGATGACGTGCACTCAGCCTGACCTTTTGACACTCTCGGTGTCCTGGCACACTATGTTGCGCCCGGGAGTCCCCACCCGGAGCACTACTCTTGGCTGCTACCAAGGTACTGCACTACTTGACCAGTACATCAGGCATGGGGCTTGTGCTTGGAGGACGGGGCCGAGTTGTGCTCACAAGGCACTTAGACGCTTTGTGGGCTGACGACCAGATGACCCACAGGTCTTCACAGCGCTACACTTTCAGTCTCAGCAATGGCTCTGTTTCATGGAGGTCAACTCGCTCATTTTCTGTCCTTAGCTCCAGCTGTGAGGCCGAGATATATGAGGGGCCTATGGCTGCGCAGGAGTTACGCTGGCTGACCTAAATCCTGATTGACTTGGGTGAGCGGAATTGTTCTCCTCCAGTTTTGTACGTCGACAACAAGGCCATGATTGCCTTGTGTCGGGAGCGGAGACTAGAGCACATCTTCGTGTTTCTTACGTGGCCGCAGAGGCCAACACTGCTGATATCTTCACCAAGGCCCTTGGGTCTGGTGATCATCAGCGTTTCTGCACTGCTCTAGGCCTTGTGCCTACTTTGCCTAACTTGCTTGTCTATTGACTTTGTCGTGTACTTTTATGCATAATATATATGTATCTATATACATATACTTGCAAGTTTACTATTGCTAGGTTGTGGTCATTGTACTACTTTTTCTACTAAAACACTGCATGTGAACTGGCCTTGTGGCTGCTTCCTTTTGCTCAGACTGTGTGGTGATCTTAAGATCCACCTCAAGCTTTGTTTTGTTTCTTCTCTTAACTGGTCTTTTGGCCATTTGCTTTTCTTGCTATCCCCCACTTTGCTTTTAGGGGTGTGTCAAAACTATATTTATGTATTGTTAGGATGTAGTGTGGCTAGCCGTAGGGGGTAGAACTTTCTAGGGTTTCCTATTTGTTCTCCCATCTTGTTAGTTGAGCCCATTCCCGTTGCGTACATACTCAACACATTGTCCCTAGTTAATATAGGACCACAACCTTAGTCATTGCAGGAGATCCTATTTCTCCGTCATTGCCATGGTGACATTGAAGTCGCCATGTGATTCAAGCTGGAGTGCTTGTGGTGCTTATTGGAGTAGGTTAGTGCTTGCTCTAGTATGTATCATGGATTTTTTTTCGCCATGTTTAGAGCAAGTTACGCTTTAGGGTTCAGTTTAGGTTCATTTCATAGTTTCTAGCATAAACTGAACACGCCCTAAGTTTAATTAGGGCTTCCAACTTCTTTCTTCAATTGTACCTCGACACTTTTCCTAGTACAACTTCTCTCGCTACCTTCTGTCTCGTTAGCCATGGCTACCATATTCTCAACCTTAACATGGTATCAGAGCCCAATCCTTGGTGTTTTATCCTTTTTCATATCTCTTAGTGTGATTTAGGCCTTAAGCACTCAGCGTGCTACTTATTTACCATTTAAATTTTATGTTTTTATCCTTCATCACTTCAAATTTCCCCTTTTCTTAAGTCCCGAACCCTCCTGCCTATCATCCTCAGCCTCTCCGCTTCGTCGCGCGCGTCATCCCCTAGTCACGCACGCCGTTCCATTGTCATGCGCCCCCTGCCCCGCCTCGCTGCGCACTCCCTACCCCGCCTTGTCGCGCGCCCTCACCCCCGTCTCGTCGTGCGCCTCCTGCCCCACCTCGACGCGCGCCCTGCCTGTCGTCGACGCGCATGCCCTGCCCGTCGTCGATGCGCGTGTCCCGCCCGCCGTCGTCGCGCGCGCGTGTTCTGCCCACCGCCATCGCTCTCCCTCCAGCCCAGCCTTACCTCCTCGTGGGCGCCTTCCCCTCCCCTCGCCATCACTCTCCCTCCCGCCCAGCCTTACCTCCTCGTGGGCGCCTTCCCCTCCCCTCGCAATCGCTCTCCCTCCCGCCCAGCCTTACCTCCTCGTGGGCGCCTTCCCCTCCCCTCGTGGTGCGCCTCCTTCTGCCGCTTTTGCGCCACCTTCTCTTTCTCCGCTCACCCCATCCGCCTCTTCACCCTCCTCCTCCTCTCTTATCTCCTTCCTCCCCTTCGTGCCTCTCCTCCCTTCCTCCACCTCCTTCCCCTCCGCATCTGCTGCAACTCGTTGCTCGTTACTGGTTGCCACTTAGTGATTGTGCTCCTACCTCCTCCTCACACTCTGCTCCTTCACTCTCCTCCTCCTCTTCTCTCTCCCTCTATTTCCCCCACCTTCTCACCTCTTCCTTCGCCTCTCTTCTCTCCCTATCTGCTGCAGCTGGTAGCTGACTATGTCTCGTCTCAAATCTTCTTCCACACATTTCCTCGTCCTCTTATTACTCCCCTCAGCGGCGCAGCAGCAGGCCACTCTGCCGTTATCCCTCCTCCTCTTATTTCTCCCCTCAGCGGCGCAGCAGCAGACTACTCCGCCATTATCGCTCCTCCTCTTATTTCTCCCCTCAGCGGTACAGCAGCACACTATTCTGCCGTTATCACCCCTCCTCTTATTTCTCCCCTCAACGGCGCAGCAGCAAACTACTCCGCCATTATCCCTTCTCTTATTTCTCCCCTGAACGGCACAACAGCAGATTACTCTGCTGTTATCCCTCCTCCTCGCATTTCTCCCCTCAGCAGCGCAGCAGGAGACTACTCCGCCATTATCCCTCCTCTTATTTCTCCCCTCAGCGGTGCAACAGCAGACTACTCCTCCGGTATCCCTCCTCTTGTTTCTCCCCTCAGCGGCTCAGCAGCAGACTACTCCGCCAATATTCCTCCACTTCTAATTTCTCCCCTCAACAGCTCAGCAGCTGACTACACCCCTATTCCTCCTGCTCATGTGTCTCCCACCAATGGCTCAGCAGCGGACTACCTCGTCCCTATTCCTCCTCCTCTTTTGTCTCCTCACATCTGCTCCATTGCCATCCCCTCCCCCTGATGGCGCCTATTCTCGCCCTTCCCTCTCTTCCTCTGCGCTTCCGCCCTCATACTCCTTTGACTGTACCTCCTCTCCTACCCTTGCCTTCCCTACCCTCCGCTTCCTTTGCTGTCCCTTCCTCCCCTTGCACCAACTCTCCTACTTGCCGCTGGACCCCTCCCCTTCTCCACCCCTCTGCTTGGATTCCGCTAACCCATCTGCGTCGCCGCCCTTCTGCCCAAGACGTTCCTGCCGCTGTGACCTCTAGTATTGGTTCTCTGGCCTCTGTTTCAGTGTAACCATGCCATCTTAGGATAGCATCCTTGGTGCTTCTCCTCTTATGGACCCTCACTTTGTTGTCCCATTTTCTCAACTTCAAAGCACTGCTTCTCACTCTCCGAGCCCTACGGCTGTTGCTCTCTCACTTCCTCGCACCTTGGAGTTTGTCCTTGACAGTGCTGCTACTGATTCTGTCTTTTGTGATGTCATTGTCCTTCGTTATTTTCCTCGTCCCCTCTCTATTCATGGGGCTGGGGGAACCATGACCATGATCTGCACTGACACCTCCTCTCTTCCCTGTCTGCCTCTCCCTCTGGCACTGTTACTGGCCCTTATGTTCCATCCTGCCGTCATACCATCCCTCTCTACCCTCCAACGCCTAGGTGTGCGGGCACTCTTCCCCGAAGGTCAACTCGATTGTGATCTTAATTACCACGACCGGCACCTTGCCTGTTTCACCCTTTCTCCAATCTCTCGCCTCTACACCCTCCATGCCCCCATGCCCTCATCTGTCCATCACACTTCCTCTTCTTCTGCCCCTCCCATCTCCTCTTGCGACTGTCGCTCTCTCACCCAACCTACCCTTCTTCTCCATCATCGTCTTGGCCTGGCCACCCCAATTTCCCTCTCTTTTGCAGCATGGTTAATTCGTAACTGCTTCATGATCTCCCCTCCAATTTGGTACCACCTAGGTGTTGATTTGGTACCACCTAGGTGTTCATTTGGTGCAGTAGCCTCCTAGCAGTTACCGGGAAGGCAGTGAGAAGTGCAACGCTCTACTCGTAGCTACAACAGGACGAACATCAGGTAGTCACTGTTTCTTACAAGGCTAGTTGCGGTAGATGCATAGTTCGGTTGTGAACAGCACGTAGGAGCTTATCAACAGACGAAGAATAGCAAGTGCCATTTGGGCGGTCCACCCGCATTCCATCAGCTTCTCTGCTCCGCTTCTCAAACATCTCCCAAGCTCACGACCATGCAGCCTCCCCTCTAGCTACATCCCATTCACATCACACTGTACCAACATGTTATCCTCCCTGCGCCACTGCCCCCTGCACTGTGGCACTGTTATCCACCTCACACCACTGCTATCTGTGCTGCGCTGCTTGATTCTGTGCGGCTCACAGCAGGCGAGTCTCCACACCCTCCTCTGCCAGATGGGTCTTCACCGACTCTATTGTCACCTGTGGGAAACACACGTGCACATGCAGAGACACAGACAAATGGGCACACAGACAAATGGGCACACAGACATATGGGCACACAGACACATGGGCACACAGACACATGGGCACACAGACAAATGGGCACACAGACAAATGGGCACACAGACAAATGGGCACACAGACAAATGGCCACACAGACAAATGGGCACACAGACACATGGGCACACAGACAAATGGGCACTCAGACAAATGGGCACACAGACAAATGGGCACACAGACAAATGGGCACACAGACAAATGGGCACACAGACAAATGGGCACACAGACAAATGGGCACACAGACACATGGGCACACAGACAAATGGGCACTCAGACAAATGGGCACACAGACAAATGGGCACACAGACAAATGGGCACACAGACACATGGGCACACAGACACATGGGCACACAGACACATGGGCACACAGACACATGGGCACACAGACAAATGGGCACTCAGACAAATGGGCACACAGACACATGGGCACACAGACAAATTGGCACACAGACAAATGGGCACACAGACAAATGGGCACACAGACAAATGGGCACACAGACAAATGGGCACAGAGACACATGGGCACACAGACAAATGGGCACACAGACAAATGGGCACACAGACAAATGGGCACACAGACAAATGGGCACACAGACACAGACACAGACAAATGGGCACACAGACAAATGGGCACACAGACAAATGGGCACACAGACAAATGGGCACACAGACAAATGGGCACACAGACAAATGGGCACACAGACAAATGGGCACACAGACAAATGGGCACACAGACAAATGGGCACACAGACACATGGGCACACAGACAAATGGGCACACAGACACATGGGCACACAGACACATGGGCACACAGACAGATGGGCACACAGACAAATGGGCACACAGACAAATGGGCACACAGACAAATGGGCACACAGACAAATGGTCACACAGACAAATGGGCACACAGACACATGGGCACACAGACACATGGGCACACAGACACATGGGCACACAGACAAATGGGCACTCAGACAAATGGGCACACAGACACATGGGCACACAGACAAATGGGCACACAGACACATGGGCACACAGACAAATGGGCACACAGACAAACGGGCGCACAGACAAATGGGCACACAGACACATGGGCACACAGACAAATGGGCACACAGACAAATGGGCACACAGACAAATGGGCACACAGACACATGGGCACACAGACAAATGGGCACACAGACAAATGGGCACACAGACACATGGGCACACAGACACATGGGCACACAGACAAATGGGCACACAGACAAATGGGCACACAGACAAATGGGCACACAGACAAATGGGCACACAGACACATGGGCACACAGACAAATGGGCACACAGACACATGGGCACACAGACAAATGGGCACACAGACAAATGGGCACACAGACAAATGGGCACACAGACAAATGGGCACACAGACACATGGGCACACAGACACATGGGCACACAGACAAATGGGCACACAGACAAATGGGCACACAGACAAATGGGCACACAGACAAATGGGCACACAGACACATGGGCACACAGACACATGGGCACACAGACACATGGGCACACAGACAAATGGGCACTCAGACAAATGGGCACACAGACACATGGGCACACAGACAAATGGGCACACAGACAAATGGGCACACAGACAAATGGGCACACAGACACACGGGCGCACAGACAAATGGGCACACAGACACATGGGCACACAGACACATGGGCACACAGACAAATGGGCACTCAGACAAATGGGCACACAGACACATGGGCACACAGACAAATGGGCACACAGACACACGGGCGCACAGACAAATGGGCACACAGACACATGGGCACACAGACACATGGGCACACAGACAAATGGGCACTCAGACAAATGGGCACACAGACACATGGGCACACAGACAAATGGGCACACAGACAAATGGGCACACAGACACATGGGCACACAGACACATCGGCACACAGACAAATGGGCACACAGACAAATGGGCACACAGACAAATGGGCACACAGACACATGGGCACACAGACACATGGGCACACAGACACATGGGCACACAGACAAATGGGCACTCAGACAAATGAGCACACAGACACATGGGCACACAGACAAATGGGCACACAGACAAATGGGCACACAGACAAATGGGCACACAGACAAATGGGCACACAGACACATGGGCACACAGACAAATGGGCACACAGACAAATGGGCACACAGACAAATGGGCACACAGACACATGGGCACACAGACAAATGGGCACACAGACACATGGGCACACAGACAAATGGGCACACAGACAAATGGGCACACAGACACATGGGCACACAGACAAATGGGCACACAGACAAATGGGCACACAGACAAATGGGCACACAGACACATGGGCACACAGACACATAGGCAGGCACATGTGCACACAAATGGACAACCCCACAGACGGACACGTGCAAGCATGCACACAAACGCAAGGACGCGTACATACACACATGTTGGAAGCAAATAGGGCACATGGACAGAGAATCAAGAGCACACCCACCGCACTCCCAGGATGGCTAGCCCTTCCCTAAGGAAAATGCGGCACTCCACATGCACCAAACGAGACCCTCACCTCGTTGCGGTGAAAGATGCTGGCAGCCACAGCAGCAGAGGCGCCTTGACAGTGCTAGCGCTGACACACCTACACAGTGCCCTTTCAGTTGAAACCGTCAAATAAACGCCCTTCCTCCGGTTGACCGTGCTGCCATGGCATCAGCTAAGCTCCCTTGAATCCCCTCACCTCGTTGCGGTGGAAGATGCCGGCAGCCAGCGCAGCGGAGGCGCCAGTGTGAGCAAAGACCTGCGAGAAGTGCTCTGGGATGCCCGCCCCGCTGCTGGCGATGACGGGGATGGTCACAGCAGAGGAGACCAAATCCACCAGATCCAAGTCGAACCCTTGGCCCTGGCCTGTGACAGGGAGAAGCAAGGGAAGGGAGTAGCCAAGGCGCCAGTGTGAGCAAAGACCTGCGAGAAGTGCTCTGGGATGCCCGCCCCGCTGCTGGCGATGGCGGGGATGCTCACTGCTGAAGACAGCAGCCCCACCAGGTCCAAGCTGATTCTCTGGGCCTGACCTGACCTGCTGGGGGGGAGGGGGAAGAGAAGGGGGGAGGGGGAAGAGAAGGCGGGAGGGGGAAGAGAAGGGGGGAGGGGGAAGAGAAGGGGGGAGGGGGAAGAGAAGGGGGGAGGGGGAAGAGAAGGGGGGAGGGAGAAGAGAAGGGGGGAGGGGAAGAGAAGGGGGGAGGGGGAAGAGAAGGGGGGAGGGGCTGAGAAGGCTAAGTTGGAATATACGCTCAGACCCTAAAGCGTACAGCATTCATACACTAGCATGTATACGCAAAACGCTATACGCTAGCTAATACGCTATACGCAGTCAGAATGTTTTAGGGGCTGCCCGGAAAAAAACTCGTGTGTATATAGAAAGATGCGGAATCTCCTGCTGAGCATTCCGCCGAAGTCGGAATGCGATTCGACGGTATAGGGAAGCGGGAATGTGCCTTTGAAGATTGCAGGAGTTCAAAATTGAACATTCGTTTAGTACCGCATTGAAACCCATCTCATCTACGAACTCCAACCCAACCTCTCAAAAATGTCCCCCAACAAACCCCACTCACACTATTTACCAGGCAGCAAAACTCCACTGGTCATTCTAGTTTACATTCCCGCTTGCGATCCTTCCGATTCCTACTAGCGATAGTGTCTACTCCACATCCCACCCCAATCGCTGTTCAGACTTAGTAAAATCCTACGAAAGTCTTAGCGAGAACAGGGAATACCTCCCCGATGTCGATGACTGCGTTTTTTACCCTGCCCGGGAAAGTTTTTTTCCTGCCCAAAAAAGTGTATCCTCGATCAGACCCCTCCAGCGTATAGCGTGCAAACGCTAGCGTATATACGAAACACGTATATATGCTAGACGCGTATATTCCAACCTAGTGAGAAGGGGGGAGGGGCTGAGAAGGGGGGAGGGGCTGAGAAGGAATTACGTGGAGGGAATGAGTTCAAGTCCAGCTCTGGCGATAACCGGGATGCTCACTGCTGAGGACAGCCGACCCACCAGGTGGAGATCAAAGGCACTGCCTGGGTGAGACACATGGACACCCTATGCCTTACTATTGTCATCCCAGCTGCTCCACCGCCTGCACCAGCCACGTGAACACCCTACCTACCTAGCCCTCCTCAGTATGGGTATGTCTGTGACGCCCTTCTCATCATCCCATCCCATGGCACTGACCATCGCAGTCGATGCAGTTGAGCAGAATCTCCCCCGCCCCCAGCTGCTCCACGGCCTGAGCCAGCTCGAACGCCCCTATGGGCCGCCCCTCCCTGCCTCCGCTCACCTGCAGCAGCATAGGTCATAACGGTCAGAGGGAAAGACAGCATGGTGAAAATCACCCTGTCCCACAATCACATGGCTATCACATGAGCGCCCTTGCTATACATGCACCCACACAGACAATGCGTAGCACCAGTGCAACCTTACAGACGCACACGTACGTGTGATACACACACACACACACACACACACACACACACACACGTGACAGCATCACTCCTCCCCTCTCACCGTGCACTGATACCATGCGTACTCCTCCCCGTTGGGGCCTGCATCAGGGGAAAGGAAAGACAGGAGGCCACAAGGCACAAGGCACAGGAGGAGGAAGGTTGAGTGGCAAGGTGAGCATAAGAGAGATGAGATCGTCTGTGAGAAGCAGTGAGTCGTGGGGCTCAGATGACACAACACATGCAGACCAGCATGTCCGTTTCAACCAAAGACTTGTGGCAAAAAAGGAGCAGAGGGGGCAGAGCCGGCATGCAGTGCAGTGCACCTGGCGTTGATGCCTTGACGCATTTGAAAGGCACGTCGTCTGGCGAGGTCACGTACACCCTCTTAGGGTCTATGCTCACCACCACGGCCTGTTGGGATGGCAGAGAGGCAGAGAGGGGGAGAGGAAGCAACTGAGAAAAGCAGGATGAGTGGTGAGGTGACATACAGCCTCTTGGGATGTATGCTCGCCAGCACCGCCTGTGGGGGCAGAAGATAGAGAGGGGGAGAGGCCACGAGAAGACATGGCCCAGGTGAGGGGAGAGGGAGGGGGGAGAGGGAGAAGATGGCATGAGTGCAGTGGGGAAGAAAAAGGGGGAGAAATTCTCCACGCTAAAAGGGGGAGAAATCCTCCACGCTAAAAGGGGGAGAAATTCTCCACGCTAAAGGACAAGTGATGGAAACGGGCCATGCAGATTATTGACCTGCAGATTGACTTTGACCTGCAGATTGACTTTGACCTGCAGATTGACTTAGACCTGCAAATTGACTTTGACCTGCAGATTGACTTAGACCTGCAAATTGACTTTGACCTGCAGATTGACTTAGACCTGCAAATTGACTTTGACCTGCAGATTGACTTAGACCTGCAAATTGACTTTGACCTGCAGATAATTTCTGAGCATGCATCTGGATTGATAGGCATTGTGGCGTCACCTGGTTGCCATACACGTAGGAGATCTGCTCTATCCCCGTCTTGCCTGTCTTCTCCTGAACTTGCCGCAACGCACACAGTGAGAGCAACACGGGCAGTGAGGAATGCACACAGGGAGGGGTAGGGGTGGATGGAAGAGCCCGTGGCAGGCATGCAGGAGTGGCAGGCATGCAGGAGTGGCAGGCATGCAGGAGTGGCAGGCATGCAGGAGTGGCAGGCATGCAGGAGTGGCAGGCATGCAGGAGTGGCAGGCATGCAGGAGTGGCAGGCATGCAGGAGTGGCAGGCATGCAGGAGTGGCAGGCATGCAGGAGTGGCAGGCATGCAGGAGTGGCAGGCATGCAGGAGTGGCAGGCATGCAGGAGTGGCAGGCATGCAGGAGTGGCAGGCATGCAGGAGTGGCAGGCATGCAGGAGTGGCAGGCATGCAGGAGTGGCAGGCATGCAGGAGTGGCAGGCATGCAGGAGTGGCAGGCATGCAGGAGTGGCAGGCATGCAGGAGTGGCAGGCATGCAGGAGTGGCAGGCATGCAGGAGTGGCAGGCATGCAGGAGTGGCAGGCATGCAGGAGTGGCAGGCATGCAGGAGTGGCAGGCATGCAGGAGTGGCAGGCATGCAGGAGTGGCAGGCATGCAGGAGTGGCAGGCATGCAGGAGTGGCAGGCATGCAGGAGTGGCAGGCATGCAGGAGTGGCAGGCATGCAGGAGTGGCAGGCATGCAGGAGTGGCAGGCATGCAGGAGTGGCAGGCATGCAGGAGTGGCAGGCATGCAGGAGTGGCAGGCATGCAGGAGTGGCAGGCATGCAGGAGTGGCAGGCATGCAGGAGTGGCAGGCATGCAGGAGTGGCAGGCATGCAGGAGTGGCAGGCATGCAGGAGTGGCAGGCATGCAGGAGTGGCAGGCATGCAGGAGTGGCAGGCATGCAGGAGTGGCAGGCATGCAGGAGTGGCAGGCATGCAGGAGTGGCAGGCATGCAGGAGTGGCAGGCATGCAGGAGTGGCAGGCATGCAGGAGTGGCAGGCATGCAGGAGTGGCAGGCATGCAGGAGTGGCAGGCATGCAGGAGTGGCAGGCATGCAGGAGTGGCAGGCATGCAGGAGTGGCAGGCATGCAGGAGTGGCAGGCATGCAGGAGTGGCAGGCATGCAGGAGTGGCAGGCATGCAGGAGTGGCAGGCATGCAGGAGTGGCAGGCATGCAGGAGTGGCAGGCATGCAGGAGTGGCAGGCATGCAGGAGTGGCAGGCATGCAGGAGTGGCAGGCATGCAGGAGTGGCAGGCATGCAGGAGTGGCAGGCATGCAGGAGTGGCAGGCATGCAGGAGTGGCAGGCATGCAGGAGTGGCAGGCATGCAGGAGTGGCAGGCATGCAGGAGTGGCAGGCATGCAGGAGTGGCAGGCATGCAGGAGTGGCAGGCATGCAGGAGTGGCAGGCATGCAGGAGTGGCAGGCATGCAGGAGTGGCAGGCATGCAGGAGTGGCAGGCATGCAGGAGTGGCAGGCATGCAGGAGTGGCAGGCATGCAGGAGTGGCAGGCATGCAGGAGTGGCAGGCATGCAGGAGTGGCAGGCATGCAGGAGTGGCAGGCATGCAGGAGTGGCAGGCATGCAGGAGTGGCAGGCATGCAGGAGTGGCAGGCATGCAGGAGTGGCAGGCATGCAGGAGTGGCAGGCATGCAGGAGTGGCAGGCATGCAGGAGTGGCAGGCATGCAGGAGTGGCAGGCATGCAGGAGTGGCAGGCATGCAGGAGTGGCAGGCATGCAGGAGTGGCAGGCATGCAGGAGTGGCAGGCATGCAGGAGTGGCAGGCATGCAGGAGTGGCAGGCATGCAGGAGTGGCAGGCATGCAGGAGTGGCAGGCATGCAGGAGTGGCAGGCATGCAGGAGTGGCAGGCATGCAGGAGTGGCAGGCATGCAGGAGTGGCAGGCATGCAGGAGTGGCAGGCATGCAGGAGTGGCAGGCATGCAGGAGTGGCAGGCATGCAGGAGTGGCAGGCATGCAGGAGTGGCAGGCATGCAGGAGTGGCAGGCATGCAGGAGTGGCAGGCATGCAGGAGTGGCAGGCATGCAGGAGTGGCAGGCATGCAGGAGTGGCAGGCATGCAGGAGTGGCAGGCATGCAGGAGTGGCAGGCATGCAGGAGTGGCAGGCATGCAGGAGTGGCAGGCATGCAGGAGTGGCAGGCATGCAGGAGTGGCAGGCATGCAGGAGTGGCAGGCATGCAGGAGTGGCAGGCATGCAGGAGTGGCAGGCATGCAGGAGTGGCAGGCATGCAGGAGTGGCAGGCATGCAGGAGTGGCAGGCATGCAGGAGTGGCAGGCATGCAGGAGTGGCAGGCATGCAGGAGTGGCAGGCATGCAGGAGTGGCAGGCATGCAGGAGTGGCAGGCATGCAGGAGTGGCAGGCATGCAGGAGTGGCAGGCATGCAGGAGTGGCAGGCATGCAGGAGTGCGCACAGTGAAGGGGCAGAAGAAATTATTGTTCTTGAGAATTCTCAAACACAATCCACGGTGAAGGAAGGGGCAGAAGAAATTATTGTTCTTGAGAATTCTCAAACACAATCCACGGTGAAGGATGGGGCAGAAGAAATTACTGTTCTTGAGAATTCTCAAACACAATCCATGGTGAAGGAAGGGGCAGAAGAAATTATTGTTCTTGAGAATTCTCAAACACAATCCATGGTGAAGGAAGGGGCAGAAGAAATTATTGTTCTTGAGAATTCTCAAACACAATCCACGGTGAAGGAAGGGGCAGAAGAAATTATTGTTCTTGAGAATTCTCAAACACAATCCACGGTGAAGGAAGGGGCAGAAGAAATGCAGAGAGAGGAGGATGTGGGGGAGGGGTGTGGGCGGACGGAAGTGCAGCCGGGGGGGAAGTGCAGCCGGGGGGGAAGTGCAGCCGGGGGGGAAGTGCAGCCGGGGGGGAAGTGCAGCCGGGGGGGAAGTGCAGCCGGGGGGAAAGTGCAGCTGGGGGGGAAGTGCAGCTGGGGGGGAAGTGCAGCTGGGGGGGAAGTGCAGCCGGGGGGGAAGTGCAGCCGGGGGGGAAGTGCAGGCGGGGGGGAAGTGCAGCTGGGGGGGAAGGGAAGGTATGGAGACAGCCAGCAAGCAGGCAAGGAGCAGCAGTGACGCACCACTCACGCACACTTCCTGGCGAGCAAGCAAGGAGGACAGCAGTCGCCCCAGTAACGAGCAGGGAGGGCAGCAGTCGCCCCAGTAACGAGCAGGGAGGGCAGCAGTCGCCCCAGTAACGAGCAGGGAGGGCGGCACGAGTGACTCACCCCGAGTGACTCACCCTCGTGGCGAGCAGCACCTCTGCAGGCAGCATCGCCTCACTGCCAGCATCGCCTCACTGCCAGCATCGCCTCACTGCCAGCATCGCCTCACTGCCAGCATCGCCTCACTGCCAGCATCGCCTCACTGCCAGCATCGCCTCACTGCCGTGCCGAGTGACACCTTGTCCGCCCCCACTCATGTGGGGCCGCAGCGCAGGCATGGTGGCACGGCAAGAGAGGACCAAGGAGGGCGAGGAGTGCGAGTGACTCACCCTCGTGGCGAGCAGCACCTCTGCAGGCAGCATCGCCTCACTGCCAGCATCGCCTCACTGCCAGCATCGCCTCACTGCCAGCATCGCCTCACTGCCGTGCCGAGTGACACCTTGTCCGCCCCCACTCATGTGGGGCCGCAGCGCAGGCATGGTGGCACGGCAAGAGAGGACCAAGGAGGGCGAGGAGTGCGAGTGACTCACCCCGGAAGCCAGCAGCTCCTCCGCTGCATAGACCGCCTCACTGCCGATGGACACCTTGTCTGCGCCTGACCGGAAATACTCCGCTGCCACCTCCAACGCTGAGTATGGCCTGCCAGGACGCGTGGGCAGAGGGGCGGGAGTGCAGGGGGAGAGGGTGAAGGCGCGCGGACCTTGTCCGCCCCCAACCAGTATCCAGCAGTCAATCAACACCCTGTTGCTGCCAGACTGAGAACACCACTCCACACCGCCCCACCTGCCACCGCTCCACTCCCCACCTGCCATGGCCCCACCGCACCGCCCACCCACAGCCATGGCCCCACCGCCCACCCACAGCCACAACCCCACGACCCAAGTGCCATCCCACTGCCCACCTGCCATCAGCAGCACCACCACGAGCATCAGTGTCCCACCTGTCCCACGGCCCACCTGCCATTGGCGTCCGTGAAGTCTCTGATGCCGCCTCCCACTGTGAGCGGCACAAACACCCTCTCCGATGCGCGCTTCATCACCTGTGGAGGGTTGCAGGGGGAGGTGGGGGAGATGAAGGATGGGGAGAACATGGGAAAGGGGAGGCGGTGAAGCCTCTGATGCCGCCTCCCACTGTGAGCGGCACAAACACAACACACGCTTTGACGCCCGCTTCATCACCTGGGGTGGCGTGGGAGAGGAGGGAGGATGGGAGGAGGGAGGATGGGAGGAGGGAGGATGGGAGGAGGGAGGATGGGAGGAGGGAGGATGGGAGGAGAAGGAAGGGGGGAGAGCATGAATGGAGAGAGCATGTGGGGAGCATGTGGGGAGCATGTGGGGAGCATGGGCGATGGGGGCGAAGGAAGGAGAGAGAGAAGAGAGGAAGTGGCTTACCCCCTCCCTGAGTGGCGTACCCCCTCCCTGAGTGTCGTTCCCCGTGCCCTCTCAACTCCAGCACGGCCAACAGGCATGCACACAGCAACTCGGAGCGCGCGCGCGCACACACACACACACACACACGCGCGCGCGCACACAGACACACACACACACACACACACACACACACACACACACGCACACACACACGCACACGCAAGCCCTCCCTTGACAGTGACCTCCAGCATGGGAAGGTCGGCCTTGACACTGACTGACCTCCAGCATGGGCAGGTCGGCCTTGACACTGACTGACCTCCAGCATGGGCAGGTCGCCGAGGGGGAAGTCCCTGAAGCCCGTGATGTTGAGAAACGCCACCTCGTCCGCGCCCTCCCTGAAGTAGCGCGCCGCCAGCTCCACTGGCTTGCCAAGGTTGCGCACCTGAGGGGGGTGGGACGGGGGAGAAGCGGGGGGTGAGGGGTGCGGGTGCGGGGGAGTAAGGGAATGCAGGGCGCAGGACTCCCTCAAGTAGAGCGCGCCAGGTCCACTGGCTTGCCCAGGTTGCGCACCTGGTGGGGGGAAAAGCAGTGGTTGAGAGTGGGGTTGGGGTGTGTGGGGGGAGGGTACAAGAGTGAGGGAGTAAGGGACTGGACTGCAGGGGGCTGGGCTGGGCTTGTTCGCCCCCACCTTGTCCGCCCCCACCTTGTCCGCCCCCACCTTGTCCGCCCCCACCTTGTTCGCCCCCTCGTTGTTGAGAAGGTTTTCATTCATACTGGTGGCCCTTGCTCACTCATCACCCCTAGTCTAGTGGTGACCAACACACACCAGTGTGACATGCCAACACACACCAGTGTGACATGCCAACACACACCAGTGTGACATGCCAGTACCCTCGCCTTGCCTCATCACCCTCCCTTTACTCCCCCTCCCTCTTACCTCCCGTTCGTGGCCCTACGCTCGTACGCTGTACTGGTGGCCCTTGGTCATCACCAGCTGCCATTAGCACGCACACATGGCCATGCTACCACCTTCCACCATCCCCACAACAACACCCTCCTCGCGCCCATTTATTCACCTCCCTCTCATCGCCCTGCTCCCGCACGTCGTACTGGTCGCCCTGGGTCAACACCAGGTTCCCATTAGCTCACACACGACCGACTGCATACGCACCCTCGCCCCATCACCTTCCCCCCAATCTTCCCCCTCACCTCCCTCTCATCGCCCTAAGCACCTCGCCCCATCACCTTCCCCCCAATCTTCCCGCTCACCTCCCTCTCATCGCCCTGCTCCCGCACGTCGTACTGGTCGCCCTTGGTCACCACCAGGTCCCCCCGGTCGTTAGCACGCACATCCAAGCACGCGATCACGCGCTTCGCCAGCTGTGTTGCACGAGGGCCCCTCAGGGGCTTGTTGCATGCCTCCTCCACCTCCTGGTGGGGTTGGGAGGGGTGAGGTCGAGTGCGGTGAGGAGGAGTGCGGCAAGGTGTTGGTCCCCCTTGGTGACCACCAGAACCAGGTCACCCCGGTCATTGGCGCGCACATCCAAACACGCAATCACGCGCTTGACTAGATGCGTGGCTCGACGGCCCCTCAGCGGCTGGCTGCATGCTGCCTCTACCTCCTGGTGGGGGTGGGAGGGGTGGGATGGAGTGTGGTGAGGAGGAGTGTGTCATTGGCGCGCACATCCAAACACGCAATCACGCGCTTGCCTAGCTGCGTGGCTCGCGGGCCCCTCAGCGGCTGGCTGCACGCCTCTTCCACCTCCTGGTGAGGGTGGAAGGGGTGGGATGCGGTGGGGTGGAGTAGGGTGTGATGCAAGGGAATATGGCATGCGGCAAGGTTCTGTGGGCGGCCCTTGGTGACCACGAGGTCCCCCCAGTGACCACTGGGACATTGGCGCGCAAATTAAACGCGCAACCTAACCACGCGCTTCGCCAGCTGTGTTGCGAGAGGGCCCCTCAGGGCGTTGCTGCATGCGTCTACCCCCTCCTAGCCTGGCGTGACAAAACGTGGTGTGAGAGTGAGGTGGAAGGGGTGTCATAGAACACGTGAGATGGAAGGGGTGTCATAGAACACGTGAGGTGGAAGGGGTGTCATAGAACACGTGAGGTGGAAGGGGTGTCATAGAACACGTGAGGTGGAAGGGGTGTCATAGAACACGTGAGGTGGAAGGGGTGTCATAGAACACGTGAGGTGGAAGGGGTGTCATAGAACACGTGAACGAATGTGGCATGGAACACAACACGGCACCGAATATGTGGAATAAATTAGCATTAAACACGTGATGGCAACACAAGGCATGTCTCAGTCTTTGCCCCTCAGTGGCTTGCTGCACTGCACTGCACTGCACTGCACTGCACTGCACTGCACTGCACTGCACTGCACTGCACTGCACTGCACTGCACTGCACTGCACTGCACTGCACTGCACTGCACTGTCGCCACCTCCAACCCCCCAGATGACGTGGAGTGAGGGGGAGAGATGGCGTGGTGTGTGATGCAGATGAATGTGGCATACTGCCCGTGCCAGGCCATGCTGTGCTCACATCAATGATCAACCCATGCTGTGCTCACATCAACCCATGCTGTGCTCACATCAACCCATGCTGTGCTCGCATCAACCCATGCTGTGCTCACATCAACCCATGCTGTGCTCACATCAACCCATGCTGTGCTCACATCAAGCCATACCATACCAATGTGACGATACAAGTGCAATGAGGCGCATGAAGGCCCACGGAGTAAGCAGGAGGAGAAAAATGATTCAAGTAGAGACAGACCGCCAGCTTAGCGAGGAGCGATTAAATTCCACCAGCGCAAGCAATCAGAGAGGGCAGAGAGGGCAGGGAGGGCGGGGAGGGCAGGGAGGGCAGGGAGGGCAGGGAGGGCAGGGAGGGCAGGGAGGGCAGGGAGGAGAGTGAGGGTGGAGAGAGGGTACCCACGTTGGCCTGCTGGCTCCTGTTGGGGCCGAGGAAGCGACGCAGGATGTCCAAGCCCACCACTGGCGGGGGTATGGGGGACAAGGATGAGGGACGGGGATGAGGGGAAGGGGATGAGGGACGGGGATGAGGGGAAGGGGATGAGGGGAAGGGGATGAGGGGAAGGGGATGAGGGGAAGGGGATGAGGGGAAGGGGATGAGGGGAAGGGGATGAGGGGAAGGGGATGAGGGGAAGGGGATGAGGGGAAGGGGATGAGATGAGGGGAAGGGGATGAGGGGAAGGGGATGAGGGGAAGGGGATGAGGGAAAGGGGATGAGGGGAAGGTGATGAGGGGCGTGTCAGGAAGGGACATCGGGAGCAGGGAGGGCGCATGCACGCACACAGGGTGTGGGTAGGGGTATGAGTAGTGTGTAAGCATAGGGTTGGTTCTTGGGATGAGATGTGGGCGAGTTAGGAGGCGCAAGAATGCAAGCGGAACGGAATGCAGCAGGGAGAACGATGCCGTGCTAACTGCAATCACCGTACTTCCACTACTTCCCCCCCCCTGCCTTGACTGCCTCACCCCTCCCCACATCTCACCGCCTGACTTCGGAGGGTGGAACTGCACAGCTTGCACGTTGCCCCTCCTCACCCTCTCACTCACTGCACTGCACGTTGACCTGCACTCTGCTCGCCGCTCTTCCCGCCCTCCACTCTCCTCACCACTCACTCACCGCCCGACTTCTCCGGGTGGAATTGCACGGCCTGCACGTTGCCCTTCCGCACTGCCGCCACGTACGGCTCGCCATAGTTGGCCGTCGCCAGCACCCACTCGCTGTTCCCAGGGGTCTGGGGGTGGGAAGAAAGGCAGGGGGAGGGGGGAGGGAGGAGCGGGAGGGAGGGTTATATGCATGGATGGTACAACACATATGGTACGTGGAAGGTACTACCACTGCGGACATACGGCTGCCCATAGTTGGCCGTCGCCAGCACCCACTCGCTGTTGTCAGGGGTCTGGGGGGTAAGCCACGTGAGAGGGGGATGGGAGAGGAGGCGGAGGGGGCGAAGGGGGCGGAGGGGGCGGAGGGGGCGGAGGGGGGGTTACATGTACGGTGAGGTGAGTGCCATGGCCGCCCGTACGGCTTTTCTCTGCTGTCGCCAGCCCAGCCCAGCACCCAATCGCTGTTCTCAGGGATCTGGGGGGAAGGGAGTGGAGAGGGGTGCAATGGGGTGTATGGCGGTGAGGGGGAGGGGAGGGAGTGGAACCCAACTGTCTTAGGCTAACTAGGCTGGGGTGACGCGCAGCTTTCATGTGGGGAAAGGAGGGAGGGGGTCAACTTTGGGCATTCTCACAAGTGAAACGACAAGCATGCGCTAGGCGGGGCTGAACTGAAACACTGCCTGCCCGCATGTGGGGAGAGAGGATGCTTAGCGTAGCGAGCCGTTAGCCTAACTGCAGTGCAGTGCGACCCTAAACACCCCTCCTCCTACACACCACAGCACAGTCCCTGGCCGGGCCCTCGCTCAGCCGCACCCGAGGAGTTTCTATTCTAGGCTTCGCTGCAGCGCACCTGAGTGGCTCGGTACGAGTGCACAAAGTACACGTGGCGCCCATTCACGCCATTCAGAATGGACGGCTCGGATTGCACGATCTGCAGCCCGTTCCACCCGATCTGCGGCACGGTGAGCCCCTTGGATGCATCGAATCGGGACACAGTGCCCGGGATGATGCCCAATCCCTCCACTGTAAGGGGGGAGGAGGAGAGGAGGAGAGGAGAAGGGGGGAGACGGGGAGAGGAGAGGGTTAAGGCGCTTGGATGCATCGAATGGGGACACGGTGCCCGGGATGATGGCCAGCCCTTCCATGGGGAGAAGGGAAGGGGTGCGCCAGGTAGGCGAGGAAGGGGGGAGAGAGAGGGGGGTAGGGGAAGGGGAGAGAGAGAGGGGTAGGGGAAGGGGAGAGAGAGAGGGGGGGAGGGGAAGGGGGATCCTTGAGGAACGGGGCCGGAGAGGTGGCGAGTGGGAGAAGGGAAAAGGGGAGGAGGCGAGTAGGAGGAGGAGGAGGAGGAGGAGGAGGAGGAGGAGGAGGAGGAGGAGGAGGAGGAGGAGGAGGAGGAGGAGGAGGAGGAGGAGGAGGAGGAGGAGGAGGAGGAGGAGGAGGAAGAGGAGGAGGAGGAAGAGGAGGAGGAGGAGGAGGAAGAGGAGGAGGAAGAGGAGGAGGAGGGGAGAGGGCGAGGAAGGGGAGAAGGGGGGTGCGTGAGTGCAGGAGGTGAGGTGAGGTGAGGTGAGGTGAGGTGAGGTGAGGTGAGGTGAGGTGAGGTGCAGAATGATATAGCGCAAGGGGCATGGCAGGGGTGGCATGGCAGGGGTGGCATGGCAGGGGTGGCATGGGCACAGCAGGAACAACAACATGCGCTACCTACCGACCTACCTACCTACCTACCTACCTACCTACCTACCTACCTACCTACCTACCTACCTACCTACCTACCTACCTACCTACCTACCTACCGACCTACCTACCTACCTACCTACCTACCTACCTACCTACCTACCTACCTACCTACCTACCTACCTACCTACCTACCTACTTACCTGCCTGCCTGCCTACCTACCTACCATTGCTTCAATCGTCTCCTGTCCCCTCGTCCCCTCTCCCTAACACAGCAGCTGCAGTGCCACGCACATGGGGCAACGTTTGAGTCGACTCTACAGTCAGCACCACACACATGGGTCTGTACGTTCACTGTTTCTTTGGGCGCCACTAAAGTGCTCTTCCCCTGCCCACTCGTCCCCTCTCCCCTCACGTCACACAGCAGCTGCAGCGCCACGCAACGCACATCGGGCTGTGGCTTCACTCTTCGTACCTTTTGTCTTCCCCTACGTACCACCCGTCTTCCCCTACGTACCACCCGTCTTCCCCTACGTACCACCCGTCTTCCCCTACGTACCACCCGTCTTCCCCTACGTACCACCCGTCTTCCCCTACGTACCACCCGTCTTCCCCTACGTACCACCCGTCTTCCCCTACGTACCACCCGTCTTCCCCTACGTACCACCCGTCTTCCCCTACGTACCACCCGTCTTCCCCTACGTACCACCCGTCTTCCCCTACGTACCACCCGTCTTCCCCTACGTACCACCCGTCTTCCCCTACGTACCACCCGTCTTCCCCTACGTACCACCCGTCTTCCCCTACGTACCACCCGTCTTCCCCTACGTACCACCCGTCTTCCCCTACGTACCACCCGTCTTCCCCTACGTACCACCCGTCTTCCCCTACCACCCGTCTTCCCCTACGTACCACCCGTCTTCCCCTACGTACCACCCGTCTTCCCCTACGTACCACCCGTCTTCCCCTACGTACCACCCGTCTTCCCCTACGTACCACCCGTCTTCCCCTACGTACCACCCGTCTTCCCCTACGTACCACCCGTCTTCCCCTACGTACCACCCGTCTTCCCCTACGTACCACCCGTCTTCCCCTACGTACCACCCATCTTCCCCTACGTACCACCCATCTTCCCCTACGTACCTCCCGTCTTCCCCTACGTACCTCCCGTCTTCCCCTACGTACCTCCCGTCTTCCCCTACGTACCTCCCATCTTCCCCTACGTACCTCCCGTCTTCCCCTACGTACCTCCCATCTTCCCCTACGTACCTCCCATCTTCCCCTACGTACCTCCCGTCTTCCCCTACGTACCTCCCGTCTTCCCCTACGTACCTCCCATCTTCCCCTACGTACCTCCCATCTTCCCCTACGTACCTCCCATCTTCCCCTACGTACCTCCCGTCTTCCCCTACGTACCTCCCATCTTCCCCTACGTACCTCCCATCTTCCCCTACGTACCTCCCGTCTTCCCCTACGTACCACCCGTCTTCCCCTACGTACCACCCGTCTTCCCCTACGTACCACCCGTCTTCCCCTACGTACCACCCGTCTTCCCCTACGTACCACCCGTCTTCCCCTACGTACCACCCGTCTTCCCCTACGTACCACCCGTCTTCCCCTACGTACCACCCGTCTTCCCCTACGTACCACCCAGCTTCCCCTACGTACCTCCCATCTTCCCCTACGTACCTCCCGTCTTCCCCTACGTACCTCCCATCTTCCCCTACGTACCTCCCGTCTTCCCCTACGTACCTCCCGTCTTCCCCTACGTACCTCCCGTCTTCCCCTACGTACCTCCCATCTTCCCCTACGTACCTCCCATCTTCCCCTACGTACCTCCCGTCTTCCCCTACGTACCTCCCGTCTTCCCCTACGTACCTCCCATCTTCCCCTACGTACCTCCCATCTTCCCCTACGTACCTCCCATCTTCCCCTACGTACCTCCCGTCTTCCCCTACGTACCTCCCATCTTCCCCTACGTACCTCCCATCTTCCCCTACGTACCTCCCGTCTTCCCCTACGTACCTCCCGTCTTCCCCTACGTACCTCCCATCTTCCCCTACGTACCTCCCATCTTCCCCTACGTACCTCCCATCTTCCCCTACGTACCTCCCGTCTTCCCCTACGTACCTCCCATCTTCCCCTACGTACCTCCCGTCTTCCCCTACGTACCTCCCATCTTCCCCTACGTACCTCCCATCTTCCCCTACGTACCTCCCATCTTCCCTACGTACCTCCCATCTTCCCCTACGTACCTCCCGTCTTCCCCTACGTACCTCCCATCTTCCCCTACGTACCTCCCATCTTCCCCTACGTACCTCCCGTCTTCCCCTACGTACCTCCCATCTTCCCCTACGTACCTCCCGTCTTCCCCTACGTACCTCCCATCTTCCCCTACGTACCTCCCATCTTCCCCTACGTACCTCCCATCTTCCCCTACGTACCTCCCATCTTCCCCTACGTACCTCCCGTCTTCCCCTACGTACCTCCCATCTTCCCCTACGTACCTCCCGTCTTCCCCTACGTACCTCCCATCTTCCCCTACGTACCTCCCATCTTCCCCTACGTACCTCCCATCTTCCCCTACGTACCTCCCATCTTCCCCTACGTACCTCCCGTCTTCCCCTACGTACCTCCCATCTTCCCCTACGTACCTCCCATATTCCCCTACGTACCTCCCATCTTCCCCTACGTACCTCCCATCTTCCCCTACGTACCTCCCGTCTTCCCCTACGTACCTCCCATCTTCCCCTACGTACCTCCCGTCTTCCCCTACGTACCTCCCATCTTCCCCTACGTACCTCCCATCTTCCCCTACGTACCTCCCATCTTCCCCTACGTACCTCCCGTCTTCCCCTACGTACCTCCCATCTTCCCCTACGTACCTCCCATCTTCCCCTACGTACCTCCCATCTTCCCCTACGTACCTCCCATCTTCCCCTACGTACCTCCCATCTTCCCCTACGTACCTCCCATCTTCCCCTACGTACCTCCCCTCCCATTGCGCCAATCTTCTCCCCTTCCCCTCCCCCCCCACAACGCAGCAGCTGGAGCGCTGCGCACATGAGGCTGTGGCTTCCCTCTTCTCACTACCCATCCCCCGCTGGTTACCCGTTCCCCATCCCCCATGCCACCACCATCCGTCAGCCATTCCCCATCCCCCATGCCACCACCATCCGTCACGCATTCCCCATCCCCCATGCCCCCACCATCCGTCAGCCATTCCCCATCCCCCATGCCACCACCATCCGTCACGCATTCCCCATCCCCCATGCCCCCACCATCCGTCAGCCATTCCCCCACTCCACCGACTTACTCACCATCGCCAAACTCCTGGCTGCCGTCGAACAGCAGCTGCAGGCCCAGGCAGATGCCCAGGAAGGGGCGATTCCACAGCTGATAGCAGTTAGTTACCTACCTACCCATCCTCCATGCACCCAATACCCCCCGCCCATCCGCCATGCACCCAATACCCCCCGCCCATCCGCCATGCACCCAATACCCCCCGCCCATCCGCCATGCACCCAATACCCCCCGCCCCCATGCCCTCTCACTCACCATCGCCGAACTCCTGGCTGCCGTCGAAGAGCAACTGCAGGCCCAGGCAGATGCCCAGGAAGGGGCGGTCCAACGCCACGTACTGGCGGATGGCGTCTGCCAGGCTGGCATGGAAGACGGGAGTGTATACGACGGATGTAGACGAGGTAGGGAAGAGAAGAGGTGGGGAAGAGAAGAGGTAGGGAAGAGAAGAGGTGGGGAAGAGAAGAGGTAGGGAAGAGAAGAGGTGGGGAAGAGAAGAGGTAGGGAAGAGAAGAGGTGGGGAAGAGAAGAGGTAGGGAAGAGAAGAGGTGGGGAAGAGAAGAGGTAGGGAAGAGAAGAGGTGGGGAAGAGAAGAGGTGGGGAAGAGAAGAGGTGGGGAAGAGAAGAGGTGGGGAAGAGAAGAGGTAGGGAAGAGAAGAGGTGGGGAAGAGAAGAGGTGGGGAAGAGAAGAGGTGGGGAAGAGAAGAGGTGGGGAAGAGAAGAGGTGGGAAGAGAAGAGGTGGGGAAGAGAAGAGGTGGGGAAGAGAAGAGGTGGGGAAGAGAAGAGGTGGGGAAGAGAAGAGGTGGGGAAGAGAAGAGGTGGGGAAGAGAAGAGGTGGGGAAGAGAAGAGGTGGGGAAGAGAAGAGGTGGGGAAGAGAAGAGGTGGGGAAGAGAAGAGGTGGGGAAGAGAAGAGGTGGGGAAGAGAAGAGGTGGGGAAGAGAAGAGGTGGGGAAGAGAAGAGGTGGGGAAGAGAAGAGGTGGGGAAGAGAAGAGGTGGGGAAGAGAAGAGGTGGGGAAGAGAAGAGGTGGGGAAGAGAAGAGGTGGGGAAGGGGATGGAAAGAGGGAGAAGGGCACAGGCAGATGCCCAGGAAGGGGCGGTCCAACGCCACATACTGGCGAATGGCGTCTGCGAGCCTGGCATGCGAATGGTGGACCGTACTGGTGGATGACATGACATGGCATGGGCCAACCCCCATGCCATGTCATCAATCCAACCCCATGCCATGTCATCAACCCAACCCCATGCCATGTCATCAACCCACCCCCATGCCATGTCATCAACCCACCCCCATGCCACGTCATCAACCCACCCCATGCCATGTAATCAACCCAACCCCATGCCACGTCATCACCCCAGGCCCATGCCATCACTCCCCTTACCCTCTCTCATTCAGCACGCCCATGGCGGCCCTGAACGCGCCCACACGCCTGCCCAGTTTCCCCTTCATGCATGGCTTAAGTAACCTGTAAGAAACCCATCACCCCTTACCCTGTAAGAGACCCATCACCCCTTACCCTGTAAGAGACCCATCACCCCTTACCCTGTAAGAGACCCATCACCCCTTACCCTGTAAGAGACCCATCACCCCTTACCCTGTAAGAGACCCATCACCCCTTACCCTGTAAGAGACCCATCACCCCTTACCCTGTAAGAGACCCATCACCCCTTACCCTGTAAGAGACCCATCACCCCTTACCCTGTAAGAGACCCATCACCCCTTACCCTGTAAGAGACCCATCACCCCTTACCCTGTAAGAGACCCATCACCCCTTACCCTGTAAGAGACCCATCACCCCTTACCCTGTAAGAGACCCATCACCCCTTACCCTGTAAGAGACCCATCACCCCTTACCCTGTAAGAGACCCATCACCCCTTACCCTGTAAGAGACCCATCACCCCTTACCCTGTAAGAGACCCATCACCCCTTACCCTGTAAGAGACCCATCACCCCTTACCCTGTAAGAGACCCATCACCCCTTACCCTGTAAGAGACCCATCACCCCTTACCCTGTAAGAGACCCATCACCCCTTACCCTGTAAGAGACCCATCACCCCTTACCCTGTAAGAGACCCATCACCCCTTACCCTGTAAGAGACCCATCACCCCTTACCCTGTAAGAGACCCATCACCCCTTACCCTGTAAGAGACCCATCACCCCTTACCCTGTAAGAGACCCATCACCCCTTACCCTGTAAGAGACCCATCACCCCTTACCCTGTAAGAGACCCATCACCCCTTACCCTGTAAGAGACCCATCACCCCTTACCCTGTAAGAGACCCATCACCCCTTACCCTGTAAGAGACCCATCACCCCTTACCCTGTAAGAGACCCATCACCCCTTACCCTGTAAGAGACCCATCACCCCTTACCCTGTAAGAGACCCATCACCCCTTACCCTGTAAGAGACCCATCACCCCTTACCCTGTAAGAGACCCATCACCCCTTACCCTGTAAGAGACCCATCACCCCTTACCCTGTAAGAGACCCATCACCCCTTACCCTGTAAGAGACCCATCACCCCTTACCCTGTAAGAGACCCATCACCCCTTACCCTGTAAGAGACCCATCACCCCTTACCCTGTAAGAGACCCATCACCCCTTACCCTGTAAGAGACCCATCACCCCTTACCCTGTAAGAGACCCATCACCCCTTACCCTGTAAGAGACCCATCACCCCTTACCCTGTAAGAGACCCATCACCCCTTACCCTGTAAGAGACCCATCACCCCTTACCCTGTAAGAGACCCATCACCCCTTACCCTGTAAGAGACCCATCACCCCTTACCCTGTAAGAGACCCATCACCCCTTACCCTGTAAGAGACCCATCACCCCTTACCCTGTAAGAGACCCATCACCCCTTACCCTGTAAGAGACCCATCACCCCTTACCCTGTAAGAGACCCATCACCCCTTACCCTGTAAGAGACCCATCACCCCTTACCCTGTAAGAGACCCATCACCCCTTACCCTGTAAGAGACCCATCACCCCTTACCCTGTAAGAGACCCATCACCCCTTACCCTGTAAGAGACCCATCACCCCTTACCCTGTAAGAGACCCATCACCCCTTACCCTGTAAGAGACCCATCACCCCTTACCCTGTAAGAGACCCATCACCCCTTACCCTGTAAGAGACCCATCACCCCTTACCCTGTAAGAGACCCATCACCCCTTACCCTGTAAGAGACCCATCACCCCTTACCCTGTAAGAGACCCATCACCCCTTACCCTGTAAGAGACCCATCACCCCTTACCCTGTAAGAGACCCATCACCCCTTACCCTGTAAGAGACCCATCACCCCTTACCCTGTAAGAGACCCATCACCCCTTACCCTGTAAGAGACCCATCACCCCTTACCCTGTAAGAGACCCATCACCCCTTACCCTGTAAGAGACCCATCACCCCTTACCCTGTAAGAGACCCATCACCCCTTACCCTGTAAGAGACCCATCACCCCTTACCCTGTAAGAGACCCATCACCCCTTACCCTGTAAGAGACCCATCACCCCTTACCCTGTAAGAGACCCATCACCCCTTACCCTGTAAGAGACCCATCACCCCTTACCCTGTAAGAGACCCATCACCCCTTACCCTGTAAGAGACCCATCACCCCTTACCCTGTAAGAGACCCATCACCCCTTACCCTGTAAGAGACCCATCACCCCTTACCCTGTAAGAGACCCATCACCCCTTACCCTGTAAGAGACCCATCACCCCTTACCCTGTAAGAGACCCATCACCCCTTACCCTGTAAGAGACCCATCACCCCTTACCCTGTAAGAGACCCATCACCCCTTACCCTGTAAGAGACCCATCACCGCTTACCCTCGCTCATTCAGCACGTCCATGGCCGCCCTGAACGCGCCCACGCCCGGGAAGATGAGCTTCTTGGCTGCCAGGATGTCCTCTGGGTCGCTCACCTGGTGGAGCGGAGGGGGTAGGAAGGGGGAGAAGGTGGCGGATGAGAGGGGTGAGCGCACGGTGAAGGAGGGGAATGGGAAAAGGATGGAGGAAGAGGGAAGGCGTGCGTGAGCTTCTTTGCTGTTAGCATGTCCTCTGGCTCGCTCACCTGGGAGGAGGGGGGGAGGGGGGAAGGGGGGGGAGGGGGGGTGAAGGGAACAGGCGGATGTAGGGGGTAGGATGTGAGAGGGGGAAAGACGAAGGGGATGGGTGGGTGGGAAACGGATGGAGGATGGGAAGAGGAGATGGGAAGAGGAGATGGACTTTCATTGCAAGGATGCCCTCTGGCTCGCTCACCTGGGGGGAGGGAACGGGGGAGGAAGGGGGAAAGAGGCGAGTGGGAGCGGAGGGGTGAGAAGGGGGACAAGCGGGGAAGAAGAAACGGATGGGTAGGTGGAAGAAGGGTGGAGAGCGGAAGGAGGGTGGAAGGAGGGTGGAAGGAGGGTGGAAGGAGGGTGGAAGGAGGGTGGAAGGAGGGTGGAAGGAGGGTGGAAGGAGGGTGGAAAGAGGGTTGAAGGAGGTGAGGAAAAGCTGATCTTCCTTGTCACTAAGATGTATTCCGGCTCGTTCGCCTGGGGGGGAGAGGGAGGATTCGCGAGGAGAGGCGGGAAAGGTAGGCGGGGAAAAAAGCGGGAGGATGGGTGGGTGAGGGGAGGGCGGAGGTATGGGGGAGGTGAGGGATGCGCGGGAATGAGACGGTCGGATTAGTCGGTCAGAGCTGCCGGAATGAGTGATTTTGGGCCCACCCACCCTACTGCCGTCATCCCACCCTACGGCCGTCATCCCACCCTACGGCCGTCATCCCACTCGCAGAATCTCAAGACCCCAAGAGTAGAACCCTCTGCACGTAAGGGCATTCCATTCTCGCCACTCACGTCGTTGATCTCGTAACCCAACAGGCGAATGGCGTTTCGCACGCTTCGCACGTTTCCCGCGCCGTAGTCCAGCAGGGTTACCACATTGTCGCCGTCGCCACTCGAATCGCCCGCCGCTGCTGCTGTCTCTCAGCCAATCAGGCGGGGCAAACAGCCAGGAACGCAAGGGAGATCGAGGCGGGTATAAGGCAGGGAGGAGGCGGAAGGAAAGACGAAAACTGTGACAAGCACGGCGGGAAGAAGCGACCGAAGCGGATGAACAGCCGTTCACTTCTATTCCTGCCATACTCTCGCCCAAGCTGACAGCGCACATGCCTCGAGAGCCTAACCATCCGCGCGCGTACGCGCTAAGCCGCACAACGATCACGGAAACCGTTCGCTCCTCTTTGTACCTCTAACGGCCAGCGACTTGCGCTGCCGCGCCGCTATCCGGCCGTGAGCGGCTGCAGAAAAGCGACTAGGGGAAATGAAGGCGGGGGATGCTAGCGGAGAGGACGCGGGGACGGCCACCCGCGTTACGCGCGCAGGCTGCGCGAGGAGGCCCGCCATGGCTGGCACTGCGATCGCGCTGCGTCGCCGCGGAAGCGGAACGGGCGGAAGCGGAACGCCGGACGCGGAACGCTCGGAAGCCCAGCAGTTCTCAGGTGAGCGCGGATCGCACGCAGCTGATTCGTGCGGAAGGCTCCTAGGCGACTAATAATGGGATCGGTGCAGTCGCGTCCCGACACAGGTACTAAAACGGTCTGATTCTGATGCTGGCCGAATGCAAGCTGTATGCCGTGCTGTACCTAAGCTCTACTTCGATGTTGCCGATAGTAGTGACGCTGGCCAATCAGTGGCGGCGGAAACACCAACGCGGGTGTGCCGCATGGCACAGGGTTTTACGAATTCGCCGTACCGAAAATCCATCAGCATTCTGCATCAAATTTTGTTTCCAGTAAAAGACATGCTACAAAAAAAAAAAAAAAAAGAATTTATCACTCTTACCATATCCTATTATATACAAACGCGTGACGTCAGCACATGCCGCCCCGCCCGCCCTGGCACAGAGGGAATTGGGGCAAATCGAAAAACCCGCGAAATCCCTCCGGGCCCCCGAAAAATCCCGGCTGACCAGGCCGAAAAACCCTCCAAATCCCGCGGTTTCAATGTCGTATAGTTATGACAATATATATGTCAGCCGTAACAGTGGAAATTGGGGGACATTTATCGAGCACTGTTCGACGGACATTGGCCAATGGCCGTCGAGCTCCGTGCACCCCCGACAACTCTGGTTACACCGGCAGCATGTCGCCTACACGGTCGCGCTGACGGTCGACGGTTGCGAAACACGTTTCGCAGCCGGCCGACGGTCGCAACCGACGGCGACGTCCACTGCCGTCGACCTGTCGCCTCGTTGGTGGAGCGAACTGTCGCTGTCGGATGGGCGACTGGTTACGTCAGTCGCAATCAAACGGTCACGTCAACATGTGACGGCCACGTGAAATGTCACGGTAAGAGCATCTACACGACTCTGAACAACAGCCCAACCACGGTATAAACCTCCAACGAGAATTGTAGCATCACATAGTTTTCAATAGGCCTAGGTTTTGGGAGGGATGGTAGCTTACGGTTTACTGTGATGGAGACCGATCCGTCGGCGACAGCGCCCCCTTCGACGAGCCGAGTTATACCGGTCGTGACAGGGACCACCTCGACGTCGAGACCCATACCGGTAGTGCAACAGCCGGTTGTTACGGACCAGCGTTCGACGGGCAATGCGGTCACTGTCGAAGTGATTGGTGCACAGACCGAATTCCCTTCGACAGGACAATCCATCCCTGTTGTGGTAGAACCCATCACGACAATCCCTCCATCCATTGCACGTGAGGCACCAACTCACCGTGCACCATCGTCGACAGCCAATCGCTCGACAGAACCTTTGGCTGGTGCACCGACCTCGACAGGTGGGCGACGTAGGAGAGCGAGGGTTGTTCTGCCTGAGGTACGACAACCACCCCCAGCCGGCACATCCGCAGCTCGAGCTACGCCAGCCGCTCCTCGGCGCACTTCGACGAGACCAAGCAGAGAGGACTTAGCCAGGAACGTCCCTGAAGCGACGGACGATGAGGATGTTCGGACGGGAGAACAGCAGCAGGCGGACGATGTCGAACCGCCGGACCCTCTGCGGCCTGCCGCGGCAAATATATCAGAGGAGGATGCCGTGCACATTCTCGGCGACCAACAGGGCGCCGCCAATCCGTACTTGGCGACGGGAACAATAGAGAGCAGGATTCTCCGTTGTGAGGTTCCGTTGCTGGGAGTTGACCACGATTCCACACGGCCGAACTATGTCTCTGGATGCATGCACTACAAAGCTTGGGCCTGTTTAACTCTAGCGACCGGAAGAAACAACGGAGTTCCTGAAGAGGAGCAGGTGATCCACGAGGACGAGATCGGTAGGGAGATCGGCGACGATATGGGGCCGAGATGGAGGGAGGCGCTCCGTAACGAGGAGCACCTGCACGGGCCGAAAATTACGAAATGGCGCTTGCGCGCTTACGTCGAATACATGTCGACAGAAACAGACGCACAGGCAGCATCCTTGGATACAGGCCGGACCAGAGTCGCGGGAAAGAAGCCGAAAAAATGCACCCCTCCGATGATGCTGGCGCGCCTTACTGCGCTGACGTGCTTCTGCAAAGTACAGGCCATACTCTTCGACGAGCCACTAACGAAACCCTTGGACGACATCACCGAGGCTCGGCAGCTTCTTGCGGTCAAGCTGCGACAGCTGCACGACTTTCAGTTCGAGTAAGTAGGCTGCCATACACCGGTGACTGAAACTTCCCACTCCCGTTCTCACCCATCAATCGCTGTATCTCCCCATTCAATGCAGGCAGTGCGTCGATCCACACAGGGGCTCGCTCGACGATGTTTACACGGAGGAGCAGTTTCGCATTCTCGTTTCAGACATCCTGCCGTGCTGGGCCAAGGAGTACTTTCGGGGGTTGATGGGTCACCCCAGCCAGTCGCTGTGGAGGGCCTTGGCCGTGAGGGTGATGATCCTGATGGCGCATCACATGCTGGGCAGGGGGGTAAGCATCCGCGAGATCCGCTACTGCAATATGTTCACTCACGTCCTTCCGCCCATCACGAACAGCAAGGGGGAATCGTCGATCCACGTCCTCGTGGTCGCCTATCGCAACTCGAAGACCATCAAGGACAACAAGCTCGGCCACCTGTACTTGACTCGACACATGGACTTCCGGCAGTGCGGCTTCGGAGCAGTGTTCATGTGGATACACTTCCTATTCGACCTTGTGCCGCTCCAATACGGGAACGATAAGATCGTGCCCCCCTTGGATTTCAGCAACCCGGAAAACTGGTCGAAGAAGCACCTGTTCCTCGCCCTCTTCGACAATGACAAGACCGAGTTGCCGTACGCAACTCATGCGAAATGGGTGCTCTGGGCGATGAAAAGCGCGGAGTGGATCCTGTCGAAAGTGTCAGAATGAACGGACTGGAGAGATCAGTACAAACAGAGAGATCAGTACAAATAGCAAACCCTAGAATTGTGTACCCCATATAGACTAACCCACTGTAGCCTAACAAACGCAACATATATAATGTTTGACACACCCCCATAGGCAAAGTGGGGGAGACCTAGGGGTCACAAGACCAGTCAAGGCAAAGCAAGGCAACAACAAGCTCAGGGTGGATCTCGAGGATTCCACACAAATTCCGAGCACAAGCTAGTGGTCACAAGACCAGTTCACATGCAGGTTTATAACAGAGCCAGAGATACAGTGATCACAACCTAGCAAGAGTAAACATGCAGGTATAGATATATATAGTGATCACAGTACAAGTAAAGTCAAGAGGTAAGCAAGTGAGGTCCAGTAGGCACAAGGCCTAGTAGAGTGCAGAAGCGCTGATGGTCACGAGGCTGAAGCGCCTTGGTGAACACATCAGCAGTGTTGGCCTTAGTGGCCACGTAGCGAATACAAAGCTGACCGCGCTGCTGCAGCTCACGAGCAAGGAAGTACCGCAGGGCGATGTGCTTCGTTCCGTGCTCCAGTCTGTGCTCCTCACACAAGGCAATGGCAGCCTTGTTGTCGACGTACAGTACTGGAGGAGAACGAGGCCGCTCTCCGAGGTCGGTCAGCAGGTAGGTCAGCCAGCGTAGCTCCTGGGCAGCCATGGCTGTAGCGTAGATCTCAGCCTCGCAACTGGAGCCGAGAACAGAAGAAGAGCGTGTAGAGCGCCAAGAAACTGAGCCAGAGCCAAGGCTGAAGGTGTAACCCTAAGACGACCGCTGAGTGGCCTGGTCGTCTGCCCAAGAAGCGTCTGAGTGCCCTGTGAGAACAACTCGGTCTCGCCCTCCAAGCACAAGCCCCATGCCCGACGTACTGCACAAGTAGCGCAACACCCTCTTAGCGGCATCCATGTGCTCCTTCCTGTGACGGCCAGGAGCGACATAGCGTGCAAGGATGCTAAGAGGGTATGCAAGGTCAGGTCGAGTGCAGGTCATCAGGTACATGAGGCAGCCCACAAGCTCTGGATACGGGCCACTCGGCTCTACGGACTCATCCGAAGGTAGAGCTGAGAGCGAGTGACCGGTAGGCAGAGGAGTGGACTGAGGCGAGGAGTACGTGAAGCCAAAGCGCTGGAGAACCTGCTGCACCATGTGTGACTGAGTCAAGGTAATGGTGCGCCGTGCTCTGTCCCGGGTGATCCGCAAGCCAAGATAGCTTGTCAGCTCACCCAGGTCTGTGCACGTGTGTCTCCTCTGCAGCTCCGACTTCACGTAGGCGAGTCCTGCAGTGTCAGCAGTGGCAAAGACCAAGTCGTCGATGTACACGAGGATGTAGAACGGCGGCAGCGAAGTGTCGGTGCGCAGGAACAGCGACGGGTCAGCTGTAGAAGGCGCGAACCCAAGAGCCGCAAGTGTAGTCCTCAGTGTGTTGTGCCACTCACGCGGAGCCTGGCGGAGACCGTAGACCGGCCGCTGAAGCCTCCACTGGGTACCAGGAGGAAACGACCCAGTGGAGGTCACGCACATCTTTCGAAGGTCTGCGGCACAGATCCTCGCCGACAAAACTGTGAACTTGACAACATCGCGCAGCTGGGTCAATGGGACATGAACGAGATGCGCAGGTCATACGTCACAGGCATCCCGCGCGGGGCCATCCAGCTGCAGGCGGGGTTCATGACGGAACCGGGTGACTATTACATCGGAAGATCGAAAAGCGAAGTACCTGAAGGCCATCGAGAAGCACATCTTTCCGAAGGCGGAGCAGTGGCTCCAAGAGGTATGGATGCGTCGAGCGCCTAGCGTGATCATCGCCCGCAAGTTTCGCACGTCTTTCTCTCAATGTCACCACGTTTGTTTCTTGTTCAGGCGATGGAATGGAACAACGAGCAGGACAAGGAGCATATGTTCTTCGCAGCGAAAAGTTTCTTGAAGGCCCTGCAAGCCGCCCGTATGCCCATCGCAGAGGATCTTGCGATGTACTACGTCCATTGTGACGACCATCCCTTCGACGGTGTGACTGTTTGTGACTGCG